TTGATGTGCTTTTAAGAAGACAGCAACAGTGGTTCAGTAGGAGGTTTATAGTTCCTGATGGTAAAAAGAAAACCTTGGGGGAAGTTTTACAGGTAGACAAAACATTTCTTTCCACGTAATAGGAATGTTAACTAGCTACATGGTGTAACCATGGGAATTTTAATACAATTAACATTATTGAATCAATGGCTGACATTTCTTTCTTGAGTTTGGCCCAGTCTAGAGCAAATGGCTCTTCAGTAGCTAGCTAGCTGAAAGGCTTGATTTAATACCGGAATCAGAAGACGTTTGTGTGCAGTCAGGATTTTGTTGCTTCTCGAGGCTACTGTACTTTAGGAGAAAATGCTGGGGTTTTAGAAAGGGCCTTTGCTCCTTACACATGAGGATGCACACTGCAGACAACCACTCCCTGTCAGCAGAGCTTTTACCTGGACATTTTTACAAATATGCCAAACCCTTTGCATCCAGCGCTCTGGGGCTGAGTGCCCCCCTCAGCTTGTTATTCGCAGATCACAGCAGTGCTGCAAGCTTAGCGAGTTATGAAATTGGGGTGGACAGGCAAACCCCTGCAACATGAAGCGTTCTTGTAGTTCAAAAAGCCCTTCTCCCTGCAGAGATGGTCTAAAGCAAAACACAAATGCAATGGGAACCTTTCCTCTCCATCTCTGCCCACTAGCTCCTTACCCATCCTTTTGATTGATCTTAACCCTTCCTCCCCCCCAGCCCACCTCTTTCAATGCCCTCCTTCTCCCAAAACAAGGCAAGGGGTTTCTTGCACTTCTTTACATTTTTCTCCTGTAACCAACCTTATGTCATGTGTTTATTGCATTAAATGGCTCTGCCTAATTGGAGCAACAATTTAAGCACAGAAAGATGCCCCAGGTCCTGGGTATGTGGGAGCTACAGTTGTAATGGTCCCTGCTGTAAGCTCTCTCCTCAACCCTCAGACTGTTCCGAGTGGCCTAGTAGAGCAAGGTACTAAATACCCTCAACTCCAGTGTGAATTGAGTGCTCAGCACCAGGGATAGCTCAGTGGTTTGAGCATTGGCCTGCTAAACCCCCAAGGTTGAGAGTTCAATCCTTGAGGAAGGCCACTTAGGGATCTGGGGCAAAAATCAGTACTTGATCCTGCTAGTGAAGGCAGGGGGCTGGAACTTGATGACCTTTTGGGGTTCCTTCCAGTTCTATAAGATAATATATGGAGATATACCTAATAACATGGTCCCGCCCCACTATCATCTCTGGCCTCACTGTTGGTCTTCCTTTCCACTATCACACATCCTGTTAGAATTAGATGAAATTCATATATATTTAAGTGGAAGTTACACATTTGCCCATTTATTTCAATAGTTCCAGTGTGTGGCGGTGGACAAACAACCCCAGTCAAATGGGAAAGATGAGAGCGCATGACAGAAAATTAACAATGAATGCTTTGGAGCCCATAAAAATGCACTTGACGAGCTCTAAGGCGTAGCATCACTCCAGTGGCATTTGCACTTTTGCCTGCAGGTCCAGGTTTCTTCCTCCCTGCCTCAATGTAAAAAGATTTTGAACCAGTGGAAATGCAACCCTAAACCAGATAAGAATGGACAATGAAGAGAAACATGCAAAGCCTTGCTATGCCCCCAGACAATCATCCATCTCACAATGTACAGAAAGATACTGCCGGAGACAAAGAATGGTTTAAAACCAATTGCATTGCCATATTAGGGCAAGTCTAAACTGGCAACGCTAAAGCGCTGCCGCTTTAGTCTTAAAGAAACATTCTAACATATTGGGAGACATTGCACGCCAGCCATTAGGAGAGATTATTCGCTGTGCCGTCAGACGGCACACCGCACTCTGCCTTCCCGGATGACAAACACCTTGGTCCAGTGAAACAGACTTGCTGCAACCTGGCTTCCACTAGGTGAGACACACAATCTAACAAAGAGTCCTGCAGTGTGTGATACCCAAGGCCGTGTGTTCCGAGTAACAGTTTTGTTACAATGGTTTATGCATTGTAATTCAGTCTCAAAGACTCGGATAACGTGCTCTCGCATTGTTCGCTATAGCAGGGTGGAATTCTTGGACAGAAAGCACTTATAGTCAAAAATGACCTTTTTCTACAAAAATGAACTTTTGCGCATGTGCACACACACACACACACCAAAAGAAAACCCCCACAATTAGGTTTTTATTAAAACCTTTTTTTTAAAAAAAAGAACAGGAGTACTTGTGGCACCTTAGAGACTAACAAATTTATTAGAGCATAAGCTTTCGTGGACTACAGCCCACTTCTTAGTCTCTAAGGTGCCACAAGTACTCCTGTTCTTTTTGCCGATACAGACTAACACGGCTGCTACTCTGAAACCTTTTTTTTTAAAACGCTCAATAAAAACTGCAAATGAAAAAAAATTGCCCGTTAGTTTGTTTTCCAATCGTAGGTATTTGGTTTTCACTTTGGTTTTGGTCTCCATAAGGCTTGGGAGGGGCAGTAAACCTAAGTGGTCAGGGGACGGCAGGGGGAGCATGTGGACCAAGTTGCCAATACAGCCTGGAGGGAAAGGTGCTTATTGCAGGTTACATTTGTATGCTCATTTACCATTCTGGGGACTATTTTTTTCACTGCGCCATTAGGTTGCCACAGCTTAGCCACTAGGAGAGGTTAGACTGCAAGCTCTTTGGAGCAGGAGCCATCTCTTTGTTCAGAGTTTGTACTGCGCCTAGCACCATCGGGTCCTGGTCCATGACTGGGGCTCTGGGGCATTACCTCAACAAAAATAATCAACGATAAGGGAGAGTTTTTCCAAATTGACAAAAATGTAACTTTTAAAAAAAATCACAATTTCTAAAAAAAGATTTGATTCTGCAGGAAATTTCAAAAAGCGAGAAGTGAGCTGCTTTCTACACAAATGGAATGAAAATCATTTGAAAACAGTAGCTATTTTGTTTTGTTTTTCCAGACAGCTCTATTATTTACCGTATTGTTAGAATCCCTTAGCTAAATAGCTGCATCTTGGAGCTGATACTCACTGGCTCATGAATTCTCCCTTGTATTTTAGTTAGACACACACACACACTCCATACTAGAGAATATCAGCCTTTAGTTTCAACAAAACTGGGGTAGGGATAGCTCAGTGGTTTGAGCATTGGCCTGCTAAACCCCCAAGGTTGAGAGTTCAATCCTTGAGGGGGCCACTTAGGGATCTGGGGCAAAATCAGTACTTGGTCCTGCTAGTGAAGGCAGGGGGCTGGACTCAATGACCTTTCAAGGTCCCTTCCATTCTAGGAGATAGGATATCTCCATTAATTTATAAAAATTTAATTCATAATTTATAAATCCCTGATTGCACTGGACTGGCAGCTAGATGCCTATTCTCTCTGTCCCCTTGCACCATCTGCCCATTGGCACTGGCCTTCCTGTCTTCTGTTTGTTTTCTCCCCTCTCTTCTCCCATTCTCATCTTGTTTGCTTTAATTTTTTCCTTCCCTATTTCTATTTTGTTGTGTGTGTTCTTTCCCCCACCCACCAGTTCTCTCACTAAAAGGAAGGTTACTCTCCATTGACTCCCTGGGTTTTCAACTAGTGGTTTTCAACCTTTTTTTCCATTTGCAAAACCCTAAAAAAAATTCAAATTGAGATGCAGACCCCTTTGGAAATCATAGACATAGGCTGCAGCCCCAGGGGTCCGTGGACCACAGGTTGAAAACCACTGCTGTATACTACATGTGGCCTCATGCCTGAGCTAAGTGAGACATAAGATGAGAAGGGAAACTTGAGCTGATATGCCTGCCCCTGCAGACCTTTAAACAGGAGAAACTCTTATGACTGGCTGTATTGGGAGCCACTGCAGGATCAGGGAACTACACCACCTGCTATTTAACCTGCACATGGCAGGATGTAGCATAGGGCAATGCAAGTCAAGGGTCATGTAACTGTTCCCACCTCACAGCTCCTTGCCTTGCCTAGATTGGAAAGCACTGCCCCAAATCCACTCTCCTTTACCCCAATGCAAATAACCAGATTGGGTCCACTGATTTTATATGTAATACACATGCACACTGTGTGTCTCGCTCATCTTTAATTGTCCTAAATAACCCATAACATGCACAGGCATGTCGGTCTACAGTCACTGAACCTCAGTCCGAGGCATAGACTACAGTAGACTTACTGTGCATGGTTACAAAAACTAAAGCGGAATGGTCAATGAGGAAATGGGGCTTTAGAGCAGGGGTACAACGCAGGAGAAAACCGGGCTGTTAAGGTTATGTTAGACCACATAGAAAAGGAGCTACTTACAATAATAGTACATCCTGCATCACAAGACAGTGGCTCCAATTTTTCTCTGTTACTAGGTGCAATACCACTGAGCACATCTCTGCACCCAGGTGTGACCAACGGCAGACTGTGGCTTCATAGCTTTAAAACCTGCCTTTGGAGTCCCTAATAACCTAACCACAACATAAGCTATTTTATTGAGCCATAGTTTCATCTTAATCATGATGATATCGGGTAACTGCTCCCTGTTTTGTTGGGTGGGTTTTGCATTACTCTCCCCTTAATAGTTATGCAATCGATCTGAACAGTCCCGGCCTGAAAATTCTCCTTCAGGAAGGTTTTTAGGGAGATTTCTAGTGCAATCAGAGCCAAGCTGTGTACAGCAAGATGCCTAAAAGGTGGGTTAATAAGGTTATACCGCAAGAGGTGGAAGTGACTAGGTGGAGTTCTACCAGCCAGCAAAGCCACACACACTGTGTAGTAGCAGGTTCTTAGGCATCACTAGCCAGGTACAATGTGATTGAAAGTATCTTTAGGGGATCCCAGTTTAGCTTCAATGCAGATTAGGGACACAAACCCACAGTTAATGATCCATCCCAGATCCTATCTATATTTGACAAGGTGGAAATCAATAAGGTGCTACAGAAAGGTAATAACATTCTGTCAATGTCCTAAAAGCTATAGAGTGTAATAGCTTAAAATAGCCCTTCTGCAGGTTTGATATTTTAAAGTCAACCTACCAATTTCTGCAATGGGGTATCATTCTCCATCACTCTCCTCCGGAAGGTTATTTTCTATTAAACTCTGCAAGACTTTTCCCTAGGGGATCTGTACACACACCTACAAACACAGACCTGAGCATCACCACACTCAGTAAGGCATTCAAACCACCGGGCTAAGCCCCCAGTGACTTCTCTGTTCAAAGGACAAGGAAGGGTGTGTGTCTGGCTCAGAATCTCCCCCAGCCATTCCCTCCCCCAGCCCCAGCAATGAGCACAACTGATAGTTTATCATCTATAGCTATGAATCATGAAGAAAGGGGCAAAGTCTCCAGCAAACACCTGTGTGGTGGTCAAAGGTTGGCTGGCAGGAAGTGGCACAGCCAGGCATTGGGAGCACCAGGTCTGTTGATTCCCTGAGAAAGGGAACCTTGGCTACTTGGCAACAAAAGCCCCACACAGTTTGCAGGGAGGGAACAACGACAGGAGCAAGGAGGGAGAGCCCCCAGCTTGACACGGACTAGATCGCCCAGCCCCACGCCTGCAAACCTCACCGCTGCCTGCCTGCCCACCCTGGCAAAGTAATGAAGTGTCATTGTCATCTGAGCGTAGGGCTTGATCTGCACTGCAGCTCTCACATACAAACCGGCTGAAGTAGCCGGGGATGACATCAGCATTCATAAGTCAGCCCCAGAGAGCTGGGGGGGGGGGAGGAGGCGAGGTACCCCGGCTTTCCCTGCTGGGACTCCCCGGCACCCTCTCTTTCCTGGCACCCCATCAGGGTCTAGGGCACGGCTTGGCCGGCCAGCTGCCGGATCGGGGGCTCACCCCTTTCCTGAGTCGCCCCCTCCCTCAAACGGTCTCCTGGGGCATCCCCTTCATCACCTCCCCCAGCTGAGCAGCTGGGAGACCTTCCTCCTGCCCTGCCTCGCCCATGGGGGCTGGGAACCGAGGGTGGGGTCGGACCCTGCTCACGCGGTCCCCTTCCAGAGAGCCCCACGGCCGGTTTCCTCTTTCTCCAGAGTCCGCAGTTTTGCAATAGCCCGGCTAGGGGCACACCCCCGCGGCAGGCTGGCAGCTGGGCTCGCCGCAGCAGGGCGCCCAGCCCGCCGGGCTCTCCCCGAGCGGGCGACCACCTGGCCGAGGCAAACTTGGACGGGACCGCGCCCTGGCCGGGCGGCAGGCGGAAGGGGAGCAGGTGCAGCCCTGACCCGACAGGGCGGCGGCCGCCGAGGGATCCAACTCCCCTGCCTGCCCCGGCCACGACGCTCCTCCACCCCGGGCAGCTCGCTCCAGCGCCGCGGTCCCCCGCTCTCCCTTACCAGGTGCAGAGCAGTCCGCGCACAGCTGGTTGCCCGGTCTCTGGAGCAGCTCCTGCAAAGCCTTCCTGGGCTTGTCCTTCGCCATGGGGACGGTGCGAGTGAGCAGGGCTCGGCTCTGGCTTCTCTCCTCCTCCTCTGCTAGATGAGCTTCATGGGGCTGGGCTGGGGGCGCTGGAAAGGCTACCTCGCCGCCGGGGGCTGCTTCATTTGGCCCCGGCTCAGACGGGCAAGGCGGACCCCCTGGGCAGCAGCAGGGCGCTTAGGGCTCCCGCTTCCCCATCCTCCTCACTGGGCTCTGAGCAGCCTCCAGCCCGGGCAGCAGCCGCAGCTCTTCGCACAGGGCTGGTTCCGCATTCCTCCCGCGGCGGCGGGGAACCGTCTGCCTTTCACAGGAGACCCGAGCCGGGCCCGCTCCTGGCCAGCCTTGTTCACCCGCGACCTCCAGCGGCGAACCCGCCCTCCTGCAGGCGGGCACCCCGGAGCCCCCTGGGCGTGAGAGCAGCGCGTTGCGGGGAGGACAGAACAAAACCTTCTTCCCACCTTTTGCCCCCGAGCTTGCAGAGACGGGTAGCCCCACTGAGACCACAGCTGAGAGGCTTCAGTTTAAGCCCGCCTAAGCGTTTGCAGCCTGGGGCCCTCGGCGACATGGATCTGTCTGGGCACTTCTCCGATTGCAATGAAGCGCTGGCTGGGTGCCCAGACGGACCCGGACAGATCCATTTGGGGCCTTAGTTTGCATGAAACCAAGGGGGACCACTGGCAGTGCCTAAAGTTAAGTATGAGCAGGGCCTTCCTTTGTGTTTATTTTAGCGGATGTTTGGGGGGTTGATATCTTTGGGATTGTTTTTTGTTTGATATTGATCATGTAGTGTATTTTTGTTTAGTAAAATTAAAATATCTACCCCCTCATTAAAAAAAAACTTGACTGATGTCCACACTTTTCCCCTGACCCTCCTGCTCCCCCCCTTCTTTATTGATAAAATTCACATAAAAAAAAAGCGGATTAGTTTATTTCAATAGCACTTTCCTTGCAAGGGTCTCAAAGCACTTTACAAATCTCTTCATCATCTTATCACCTGAGTACCTTCCAATTTTTACATATTTATCCTCACAACATCCGGTGAGGTAGGAAAGTGCTATAATTCCCACGGTACTGATGGGGAGCTGGGCCTAACGGACTTATCCAAGGTCCCTCAGTAAGTCTATGGTCCAGCAGCAAACTGAAGCCAGGTCTTCCACATCCTAGGTGAACATGCTAAATACTGGCTCATCCTTCCTCCCCAGCTTAGTCAATTGCATCGAGATCATACATCGCCTAGAAATTACTGTGCCAGAATAATTTTTGATCCATACAACTTCAGTTTGGTTACAGAACCCTTTTTGGTTTTGTGAAGTGAATCCACTTGTTCAATTATACCCCATCCCCTTAAAAAGAAAAATCAAAGCTTTCATGGTGCAAAGCCTTTCTTATCTGTCTGACTTTATGATGAGGAATCCCATTGGCTTGACTTCCATCCAAAGTTAAGCATGTATGCAAATGTTTTCAGGATCAGGACTCAAATAACCCAACAGAAAACCACCACTAAATTCAAATTATGATCCTGATCCTTCCATCACTTAATCACATGTGTAACTTCACTTCCGGTAAGTAGGGCCTTTGATTTCAATGGGACTTCTCCTTAATCTGGAAAATATTTCCCTAAATTATCTTGCCATTTTTACTGATAGATACTAAGTTTAACTGCATTAATTTCTGATCTTTTTAAAAATTGATATTATTGTGAAGCGACCCTCTGTACATTATAGGTTGCTTCTTCCATCTAGCTTTGAAAAACCTGGCTATCATGTTAACCTAGGGTCCAATCCTGCAGCTCTGACTCCTGTGAAGTAATCCTACTATAGACTTTATCTGGACTATCTACAGAATTGGGCCCCCCACTTGTATGTCAAACAGCCTGTCACCTCCTTAAAACTCAGAACAAAATTCTTTTTCCAGTTATACTGGTGTAAATCTGAAGTAAAACCACTGACTTCAGTGGAATTACTCTGGATTTATACAAGTGTAAATGACAACAGAACTGGCCCTGAGACAGACTCTTGGCCCCATGCCTGCAAACACCTGCATATGTGAATAGTTCCATTAAAGTCAATGGGATTACTCATATGCATGTTTGCAGGATGAGGGTATTATGCAAGTCTGTGTCAGGTTGCTGGGTTTTCATCTACCCTTTAATTTTGATGCAGACCAGTCCCTTGGCCCTTCCTGCCCCCAGAAGCATCCATTGTACATAATGACCTCTCCATGCTACAGCTGAGATATTGCAAATCATTACCAGAGGAGGAACAACAACAACAAAAGATTTTGTTTTAAAGTCCCTGTTTAGCTTTCCATCCAGGCTTATTGATTCTCTTAATTTTTTGTTCTCCTGGTTGCTAGGCAATTCCGCTCTCCTCTCTGCACTCTGTGTGCCAGGGCTGCAGAAAGAAATTTATATCTTGTAATAAAATCAAATATAACGGGGACTGTTGCAGATGATCAGAACAAGCCCTCTCATAAAGGAAAGGGGGATGGTAGGAAGATTGATTGAGAGCAATCATCATAATTTAAATCTAATAATAATATAATTTGTGGAGCATGCCTTGCCACAATGCAAGAAAAACTTTGTAGTAAAAATCCCACTGCAAACTTCAAATGAGGAGAACAAAAAGTGCATGTGAGGAGAGAGGACGGGGGACCAGCATAAGAAGAGAATGGGAGGTGCAGAAGTCATAACTATGGGACCCAAAGCAGTCATAGTAAAAATGCTTTGGAAATAAAGGGCCCTGATCCTTTTTCAATTACACCAACTTTACACAGGCCTAACTTCTGTCTGGCTTCACTCCTGATTTCTCCATAGATTTCAGCTGAGTTAGTACTCCTGATTTACAGAACCTTAGTCAATCAACATAGCTCCATGAAAGTCAACAATGCTATGCTGTGTGACAGACCCAGACCAGTGGGGTACAGGAGTCTGGTAGAGAACAAATATACTGGTCACTGGATGAGTAGTTTTCTGTTCCCTGAGTGACCAGAGCAGGGACTGCACTAGAGTAATCAGGAACCTGCTAGAATCAATTAAGGCAGGCTAATCAGGGCACCTGGGTTTTAAAAGGAGCTCACTTCGGTTTATGGTGTGAGTGTGAGGAGCTGGGAGTAAGAGGTGCAAGGAGCTGAGAGGGTGAGGGTGAGGGTGAGCTGCTGGAGGACTGAGGAGCACAAGTGTTATCAGACACCAGGATGAAGGTCCTGTGGTGAGAATAAGGAAGGTGTTTGGAGGAGGCCATGGGGAAGTAGCCCAGGGAGTTGTAGCTGTCATGCAGCTGTTACAGGGGGCACTATAGACAGCTGCAATCCACGGGGCCCTGGGCTGTAACCCGGAGTAGAGGGCGGGCGGGCCTGGGTTCCCCCCAAACCTCCCAATTGACCTGGACTGTGGGTTCTTTTAGAGGGGAAGGTCTCTGGGCTGTTCCCCAACCCACATGGTGAATCTCTGAAGCAAGAAAATCCGCCAATAAGCACAGGACCCACCAAGATAGAGGAGGAACTTTGTCACAATGGTGTCACGAATGGAATCTTGGGGTGCACAGTGTGGCGGAAGAAGGAGGGTGATTTAAAAAAAAAAGTGGTTTATTTTTTTCACCACAATGGATGACGTAGTGCGGGCACTGATACAAGCTACGGCGGCCCAGCAGGAGGCTACCCGTGTCCAGGCAGCCGCCCAACAGGAGGCAGTGCGGCTGCAGCAAGAGACTAATTGCCTGCTGATGGACCAGGCTGCTCAAGACCGAGCTATGTTGTGGGAACTGGTAAACCAGGTGAAGTCCCTTACAGAGCTGAATCGCAGCCATGATGGGACACGGCTCATACGGGCCAGCCACTGGCTGCAGAAAATAACACAAGAGGATGATGTAGAGGCATACCTTCTGGCCTTTGAGAGGACAGCCCTATGGGAGGCCTGGCCTCGAGATCAGTGGTCTGGCATCCTTGCCCCATTCCTGTGTGGGGAGGCCCAGAAGGCCTACCATGATCTGCCTGAAGAGGCTGCGGCAGACTACCCCCAGCTGAAAGCAGAGATCCTGGCCAGATCTGGGGTAATGACAGCACTGCGGGCTCAGCAGTATCACGGTTGGAGGTACCAGGAAGACAAAACCCTGCGGTCCCAATATGACCTCAGCCATCTCGCACGAAAGTGGTTGCAAACAGAGTCCCGGAGTCCAGAAGAGATACTAGTGGTTCTGGTCATCGACCGATACATGAGGGGACTACCACCAGACCTTTGTGCCTGGGTAAGCCAGAACGAACCCTCCACCTATGACG